GACAGGCGCACGAGGGGGTGGGGGGGGTGGAGAAAGAGGGGCGCCTTCCTCTGGGGGGCCACTCTCGGGCGTGTGCGACACCCGAAATAGCCGGCGAGCACGTAGCAGAAACGCGGAACAATTGCCCTCGTGAAAAATATACAACAAATGGGGAATTGTGCGATGCAATTTACTCTGCCCAGTGTCGAAACCGGTGAAAGAGTTGGCTCGTGTTGGAACGAACGCCATTGAAATTCTGCGCTCCCAGAAGAAGCGTGCGGCTGATGGGATGCGTGTAAAAAACACGACAAATATTTGCGTGGAGGGGATAGATATGGGGATGTGAGGGTTATTATCGACCGCTTATCTATTCGGTGGTCACGCGGTGGTCACGCGTTGGTCGCGACAAACCAGGTGAGTGCCAACAGCTGAGCCACGGCGGGAGGGCGAAGCTCACAAATAGCTCCAATTCCTCGGGCTCAACGCGCCCGTGGAACTGGTGAGACCGGTGCGTTGCCTCGGCTTCCCCGTCACGTGCCCAGGACGCGGTGAACCGCGACCTGCTTCAACAGGCAGCAGCAGCAGGCAAAAGCAGCAGACAGCAGCAGCATCAGCAGGAGCAGCAGGAGCAGGCAGCAGCAGTAGAAGGCAATAGCGGGCAGCAGCAGTAGCAGGCAGCAGCAGACAGCAGCAGTAGCAGGCAGCAGCAGCAGTAGCAGCAGCAGCAGCAGACAGGCAGCAGCAGCAGCGGTTGCCTCCACAGGACGATGCGGGGGAGAGAGAGAGGGGTGGGGGGCGCAGCGGAGACAACGCTGGGAACGACGCACCGCACAGGCTCGGGGTTGACATGCAGAGGCAAATCCCTCCCAGCATCATCACCACCACCACCATCGTCGTCTTTCTCCCACGCCTCACCCTCCACGCACTTACACGTAGTAGTAGTAATAATAATAACCTTGCTTCTCTCGGTTCAGGTGTACGAGTAACCGGGCGGGGAGGGGGGGGTGTTGAGGGCTTCCGTCGTTGAAGCGATGGAATTTACAGGCGTCAGATTACCGGAGTGGACGCCGGAAGAGGTCACGGTGGTGGACGCGAGAGAGGGCGGTGCGCATCAAGGGGTCAAACCGCTGCTGATCTCTGTAACGTAGCCACTGGAGGGCTAGCCTCCTTAATAGACGTCGTGTCATCATCGTTGCAGCCAGTTACAGATTCCCTGTCGATCCTGCCGCCGGGTGAAATTGAAACTCGGCTTTGTATTTCACCCAGGTGAGGCCCCACTGAGCTGTGGAGCTCTCTTTCAGCACATGCCACGTGTCCCACCACATGCCACGTGTCCCACCACATGCCACGAGTCCCACCACATCGCGCACCACATGTTCGATCTCCTCATCTTACACTTACTTCGTGATTCGCTTCCAGGCCGCACTAAGCCTGCAGCTGTCATAGAAGTCCTTCCCCTTGTCCCCCCCTCCTCCCCAAGTGGGGTCAGTGGGCAGCACTCCATGCAGCAATTGGTGCAGCGAGCTGGCCTGGTGTTGAGTGGCCATGGGGACGCAGCAGCAGCAGCAGGCCCTCCGAGTGTGTGTGTGTTGAGCGTGTGTGTTGAGCGTGTGTGTTGAGCGTGTGTTGAGTGTGTGTTGAGCGTGAGTGTGTGTGTGTTGAGTGTGTGTGTGTGTTGAGTGTGTGTTGAGCGTGTGTGTGTGTTGAGTGTGTGTTGAGCGTGAGTGTGTGTGTGTTGAGTGTGTGTGTGTGTTGAGTGTGTGTGTGTGTTGAGTGTGTGTGTTGAGCGTGTGATGTGTTTGAGTCAAGCGTGTATCGTTTAAAAACCCGGCGACCCGAGTTCCATTCCCGCTGGCGGCCAGCCCCAGTGACGATGATCCGACCTGGTCCTGGGCCTTCCCGAGGCGAACTCAGCCTCCTGCCGACTGTCTGCGAAGGCTCCCCACGCACACGGGGGGTGATCTTTGTCTTTGTGACGCACACGGGGGGTTGATCTTTGTCTATGTGCCGTCAGGACCGAAGCTACCCTGGAAGCCCCATGTCTCCTTTCTCTCCGTTCGCCGGAGATAACTACAGCCGGCCGACCCCGAGACGCCCGTGAGTAGTGCACACCCACGCACACCCACGCACATCCACGTACACCCACGCACATCCACGCACACCCACGTACACCCACACACACCCACGTACACCCACGCAGACCCACGCACACCCACGTACACACACGCACACCCACGCACACCCACGTACACACACGCACACGCGCGGACACACGCGGACACACGCACATGTGCATGCACATGCAGACACGCGCGCGCACACTCACTCACACACACGCGCACACACTCACACACACTCACGCACACACACACTCATGCACACTCGCGCGCACACACACATACACACACACTCACACACACTCACGCACACACTCACACACACACTCACACACACACTCACACACACTCACGCACACACACACTCACACACACTCACGCACACACTCACACACACACTCACACACACACTCACACACACTCACGCACACACACACTCACACACACTCACGCACACACTCACACACGCGCACACACTCACATACACACACACTCACACACACTCACGCACACACACACGCACACACGCACACACTCACACACACACTCACACACACTCACGCACACACACACGCACACACTCACACACACTCACGCACACACACACGCACACACGCGCGCACACACACGCACTTGCACCTCCGATGAGCACCGTTGGCTACGTGCCGTGCGAAATAAGTTCAACATTTACCATTCGAGTAGCGTGGCGTTTCGCCAGTAATCACAACAACAACAACCAGCAGCAGCATCATCATCAGGCGGGCAGCCACAGAGCTGTGGAGACGTCCTCGTCCTGTTTCGGCCTGAAGTCGACGGGGTGAATGCGATGTCGTCACTTGTGAGCCAATCGGGTGCAATGCTGTCGTGGGTTCACTGTCCAACACACAACCGGTTCGTGCTGTCCTGGTGACGAATTGGCACGTTCTGTTTACGTGACAGACCTTACTAATTGGCTGTGACGGGTGGGGCGGGTTTAACGACACATTTATATTTATGCCATCTAACCCAAAACACCTCTACTGTGGATATTGGTCGCGAAAGCCGACTTGTTATGCATACTGTACACATACTTGCACGTACGCGCGCACTCTCTCGCACTCCCAGCCACCACGTGACCCAAGAGAGCGCTCGTCTGGCCCAGATTGAGGGGGCCGCATGGGCACGGCAAGTGGCTCGAAAAGAGATGAGAGAGAGATCAGGAGCTGAGTGGAATTGCCCGGTGGTCGGTACCGGTGCTGTTGACATCGGCACATTTTGTCTTGGAGCACGTGGGGTGACGCGTGCTGCAGCAGTGATATTCCGATACCAGTTTTTTAATCTCCAAATCACAAATACGCATGATAGCAACGATGACATTGGTAGCTTTTTTTTCTAATGAGAATCTCGTGAATTAGGTACCGTGGTGTTTGAGAATGTCGTTTTGTATCGGGGAGTGGGTGGGGAGACGAGAGAATGGTTATTGAGAGAATCCGTTCCGCGCACAAGACTCTCTGCCCACGATCTATCCGACTCGATCGCCTTCAATTATCCCCCCCCCCCCCCCCCCCATCGGTACGCAGGACATCCTGTTGTTGCCTTGTGGCCGCAAGTCCCTGACACCCTGTTGTGGCCTTGTGAACACAAGTCCGGCCAGGCGGCACGGCGGCTAAGCGAGCGGCTTGCGATGGGGGGATGTTCGCGAAGTTCAAATCCTGGTTGGCCTGTCGTCCATCCGGGGGTCGATAAAATTGGGGCCACCTCACGGGGAAGGCCACAGTGGGTTGTTCTACGGACAGACTCGCCCCCGTCATAGGAATAGGGAATTTACACCACTGGCTCAGTGGGACATGAGCACCGCCTCAATGCTCATGCGAGCAGGAAATCACTTTGACCTGTTATGACAATGCGGTTGTGGTGGTGGCGGTACGCAGGGTGAGACTGAGCAGCGTGGACCGCGACTCGGAGCTCTACAAACTGCAGGAGGAGAACCGCCGGTCGGGCCAAGTGCCCAAGCAGTCGGGCTTCTTCCACAGGCTGCAGGGCATGCTGGGTAACGTCGCACGATCCCAGCACGCACGGCAGCACGGCAGCACCGCTGGGCATCCCAGCACCCGTTTGTCGGCGGCACGGTTGTGCCCTTTTGGCATTTTTGCTGCTGCTGTTAAAAGTGTTTTTCGTTTGACGGGGTGGGAGTCGCCCACACTCCACCCCACCGCACGACTCACCATGCTATCGCACTGCTGGGTGGACGGAGGTGGCGGGAGTGGCGGGGGGAGGGTGGCGGCGGTGGGGGGCAGTGGGGAGCGGTGGTGTAGCGGTTAGCGCTACGCTGCGCTACGTACCTGGCGACCCGAGTTCAATTCCCGCTCACGGCCAACACGGGTGACGATTATCTGAACCGGTCCTGGGCCTCTCCTAGGTCGCTTCAACCTCAAATGAGTACCTGGTGCGATGTGTAAACATCACCACTGGAGAGACAAAGGCGGCCGGGCGTGGTGCTGGCCACCCACCCCCTCGTGTGCCGTGCCGGCCTTCGTAGGCGCTCGCTAACAGCACTTGCCCCAGTAGTCTGTTACAGGCTATACGGGAGATCTTTGTCTTTGGGGGTGAGATTTGAGAAAGCTGAAACTGGAGCGCGCTGACCGCTGCGGTCGGAGAGACGAGTTCATGATCACAGACGCCGGGCGGGGTTGGGCAAGAGCGAGACGGCGGCCAGCGATAGGAATTGGCATTCTACGTAATCACGAGAGATTTGTCGAGGAGAATATGAGTGACGGGGTGAATATAAGCAGACAGGAAAGGTTTTAAGTGTTGCACAAATATAAGTAAAACACTTGTTTTTTTAAACAACATTTTGGATTATTGGGCCCCCCACCCATCCTAAAAGTGCAATGGCAACTTTTTGAAGTAGTTTATTCGGTTTGTTTGTGGACCCGGTGCCTACGGAAGTTTATATTTGAATAGAAATGTGACGTCAGATTTCAGACTCAATATCAACGTGGGGAGCGCCCCACTGCCGCAGTCCCTGACAGCTGCGCCGCGTGGCTTTGTGTTGCAGACGACAGCTCGGAGGGCAAGGGGAGCGCAGCAGAGGCGGACACAGAACAGCAACACACCTGACGCACCAGTACACGCAGCACAGACACAGGCACACACAGCACAGACACACCAGTACACACAGCACAGACACACACACAGGCACACACACACAGGCACGCACACACACACAGGCACGCACACACACAGGCACACACGCACACACAGGCACGCACACACAGGCACGCACCTACGCACACACACACACAGGCACGCACCTATACACAGGCACGCACACACACAGGCACGCACACACACAGGCACGCACCTACACACAAGCACACGCACACACAGGCACACACAAGCACACGCACACACAGGCACGCACCTACACACAAGCACATGCACACACAGGCACGCACCTACACACAGGCACGCACACACAGGCACGCACCTACACACAAGCACACGCACACACAGGCACGCACACACAGGCACGCACCTACACACAAGCACACGCACACACAGGCACCCGCGTGTGCACGGGCTCACGCCGACGCGGCGGCAATGCGAGGCCACTCGCTGCGTGAGGACGCGAGGAGGAGCAGGAGGAGGGAGAAGCACGGAACCCGCTCGTCCACTCGCGCGTGCAGTCGTCGTGCATCAGAGAGAGAGCGTGGGGGAGGGAGAGCGTGCATTGAGAGAGAGCGGGAGAGAGGGAGAGAGAAGGGGAGAAATGAAGCAAAGTGCCGACTACACCTGAGCATCTTCTTGTTTCCACTGATCATAAAAAACAAGAGAGAGAGAGGGAGAGAGAGATGTTTAACATTATATGTATAATTCTACTCAAAAAAACTAGCATAGTAAGGAGATGAGCAATGTACAAAAAGATGTGCACACACAATCGACATGTCACTCTTCCACAAGACAAGTTTTTCTTTGAGAGATGGGGGTTATGACTTAGTCTGGAGAGAAGGCAAAACTTTCAGTCGTCAATTTCTTTGTTGCACTTTGCAGCTCAAGTACCCAGCGAGGTATGGCCAATTTACAATACGTCTTAAAGCGTCATTATCACACCCCTAACAATGTACTTAAAGATGTTTGTCGTTCCGCTTTTAACTCAAAAAACCGTCGTATAAGAATAAGCGATTGTGCACGAAGCAGCCGCCCCGTGCACAAAGCTGCGGTTGTGATAGCAACAAAGCTTATTGCGAACCCTTGGGGTTTTTCGGTAAAGTCACGTAGATAGGTTACAAAACAACTACGAAACTTCGTAGTTTTTTGTCTCTATTTTACTTATCTACATGACTTTACCGAAACACCCAAATAATATGAATTCCTGCAGTCACGAAAGCTTCAAGTCAAGCTTTGTGTATGTTGTATTGATGCTGTATGTACGTTGAACTTCTTTCGCACCGTACATAGCCAACCGTGCTACTCGTACGAGAAGCCCATTCCAGCACAGCACTTGTCAGCTGTAATGGTAAACGAGCGATCCATGCAGTTGTCATCGTGTGTGTCCGCCCAAGTGGTTCGTGGCAGTGTTTATCTACCACAATGTTGACAAGGAGGACAATTAAGAAGAGTTAATCTGCCGATTGACTTAATTACAGCACTCAGGAGTTCAAGTGTCTTCTAAGTCAGTAACCCAAATAATTTGCATACAGGCTTTAATTACTCTAAACTCTAAGATCAACCAACCATTGTACCATAGACTCCGTGACTGTATTTGGTTGCAATGAGGCTGCATTTGTCATTCACCCACTTGTGCAGGAAACCATCCTGCATGGGGCAAGATAATTTAATCTGGCTACAGATTTCATCAGAGTAAACTGCACAAATGGTGGCGTTAATGGCATCAAGACATATACATTTAAAATGCAATCCTGGTAACCCCTAAAGGCAGTGTGCAAGCCACATGTCATGTCGGGAAACCCCATCCGTCAGAGATATCACAACAATATAAAACTTCCTGTTTATATAAATATGATTTGACAGAAATTCAGCTCCATGCTGCTTAGAACTGCTGTGTAACACAAATACATATTGGCACTGATTGCATTGTATTATGCGGATTGTCAATAGTTGTGAGTGAATGCATTTATACGGGTTATAGGCTGCAGGAATTACAATGGGTCCAGCCCTAATTTTTAATGACTAGAAATCCACACGCCTGTCGGTCCGAATATGTTTAATGCGGTAGGAAGCAGCAGAAGCTAAATTCGGCTAAGGTGAGCGTTCTGAAAGAGTGGAAATTATCGAATTGAGATATCGCTGAGACAGTTGTGATGCATGCAGACCCCCTACACGGGGGGGGGGGGGGGCTCCCCCCGCGTGAGGGGCCGCGCGATGTTGCGTGAAGTCGCCAGGTTGGGGCGACGCTTTGTTCGAGTAGCGCTGTGAAGGCCGGCACTGTGACACACGAGGGGGTGGGTGGCCAACACTACGCCCGGCCGCCTTTGTCTCCCTCGTGGCGATGTTTACACACCGCACCAGATACTCATTTGTTGCTTAGTTGACCGAGGGGAGGCTCAGGAGCGGTTCAGACGATCGTCACCGGTGTTGGCCGTGAGCGGGAATCGTTCGCGGGTCACCGGCTTCGTAGCGCAGGGCGCTAACTGCTAGCACCACCGCTCCTCACGACACGCACACAGATACACACACACAGACCCACACACACACAGACACACACAGACACACAGACACACACACGCACGGACACACAGACACACATGGACAGGAGCCGGTCGACAGCCAGCTGGCAATAGGCTGGGGCCCAGCATCACAACGGGACACGGAGTAGACGGAGAAAAGGGACGACGAGAAATCTGAGAGGCGGCGGGGAATTGGCTCCTGACGTTTTGTGGGTTGCGGCAGGAATTGATTTGTGTTGATATCTGGCACCGGTGTGTGCGGCGGTTGTTCTGTTGAACGTCTATCGCAGTGTATCGTGCACAGCTGACTAAGATGATGTGGGGCTGTGGCCTGCGGCGGTGGTGGCCACCACACACAAATCTGGACCGCTGTGAATGTCGAAACCAGATCTGCTGACGAGACACTGGATGCCTCGACCATTCCGGAGTCTGCGTGTGTTGAACCAGTGGCGATAACATCTCGTACTCTGCTGGGAAGAGCATCGCGGGCTTATGGGATGTGTTTAAAAAAAACAAAAACACTTTTATTCTTTACATTTAGAGACACGTATATGACAAGGTGTATGGACCGCTTGACTTTTTAGCAACTGGGCCCTGTTGAGGCTGCGGCAGGGCATTAGCGAGGCCAACACGTGCGTGGTTGTCGACGCATTGTATTTATAGATCTTCTGTTCGTCTTCTTCTTTTATATACACAAGTGGAGACTTGTGGACAGGTCGCACCCACGCACTGCGAGGCACTGCAACTCCTGAGCAGAGCCGCCTGACCAGCTGACCAGCTGATCCCACAGACCGCCCACTTCCCCAAAGAGTCCCCTCGAGTTGGGTCACCCGGGTCACCGGGGGAGGGGGGGGGCTGGGTAATGGACGGCGTTGTGGGGAGCCGCGAGGGCTGGGAGACACTGGATGGGGTCGATTTCATGTTGTTTGTTCGGGTGAGAAGTTACTCCCAGCGAGTGGGGTGGTACGACTTGGCAACGGTGACCTGGCTCAGTCAAAACTCCGAAAGCGACGACGAAGTAAGAGAGCAGTGCAGTAGTGCAGGGAGATTGAGAAGTAAGAATAGGGAATAGGAGCCAGTTGAGGTGGTTCTGGCACCCGGTGAGGATGCCCCCCGGTAGACTCCCCCCCCCCCCCCCCCCCCCGGGACTCTACCGGGCAGCGGCAGCAGCAGAAACGTCTCACTGGGCCAAGACCCCGGGGCCGGCCCAGGACACGCTGCTGGCGGTGGGACTGTGTCGCTCGGCTGGCCTGCGAATTACCCAGGAAGAGCTAGAGTCTGTGTATAGCAGTGTAGTGTATACTGTAGTGTAGTAGTGTAGTGCATACTGTAGTGTATACTGTAGTGTATAGTGTAGTGTATACTGTAGTGTATAGTGTAGTGTAGTAGTGTATAGTGTAGTAGTGTATACTGTAGTGTGTAGTGTATACTATAGTGTATACTGTAGTGTATAGTGTAGTAGTGTAGTGTATAGTGTAGTAGTGTAGTGTATAGTGTAGTAGTGTAGTGTATACTGTAGTGTAGTGTATACTGTAGTGTAGTGTATAGTGTTGTAGTGTAGTGTATAGTGTAGTAGTGTAGTGTATAGTGTAGTAGTGTAGTGTATAGTGTAGTAGTGTATAGTGTAGTGTATAGTGTAGTGTATACTGTAGTGTATAGTGTAGGAGTGATAGAGTCCGTCGCCAGGGAAAGGGAGGCCTCGACCACGACGACTCAACGCGCTGCCGCCGCGGCCCTCGCCAGGACAGGCGGATTGAGAGACAGGAGTTGTGTGCTTGGGCCGCAGGGCTCACCTGAAGCTGCCCTTCCTGCTCCTCACGTTTAATTGGAGATGAACCCCTTTCCCGTTCCGAGACGTCTGAAAGTTATGGGGTGGTGGTGTCCCAGTCACCGCCGAATCTCGTAAACGCGTGAGCGGTTTCAGCGTTACATTGTATTTTAGAGGCCTCGCAGCAGCGGCTCTGTTGTTTTTACAAAGACGTCGTTACTCACCGCAGAGAACCGTAGCGACACGACCGCCGCCGCAACTCGACGGTTAGCAGCGCCAACGAAGTGCCACGGCCCCTGCCGCGTGGCCTTTTCCTTCCGATTCCAGTTCCGATGACGTACGTCGTGAATTGGCCACTCCTCGGTGACTCAGTCACTCCGTGACTCGGTGACTTGGTGAATTGGCCACTCAGTCATTCGGTGAAGTACACGTATGTGTACGTCATCAGAACAGGGAAACGGTTGTTAACCGTACGCACGTGTGTGGCTTGCAGCCAATCAGAGAGATGAACGGCGGGGCCACGAGAGTCTGGCTGTCCGCCCCACGCTTAGCCACCACCGGCAGCGGCTCTTACCCGCTCGCGGTGCGTTAGCCTCGTCATCGTCCGGCTCTTGCCAAGTCGAGTATCAGAATGAGAATCTTTAGGACTGCAGGAATCCGATGAGCTACAAGGGTGGCCACCGGTCCGGGTTTTGACCCGGACAGTCCCCGGTAAATTGGGCATCCGCTTCCGGATTTGCAGGAATTGACTTGTGCCGGAGAGTTTGGTGGGACTCGTGCCAGAACTTTACGACAGTTGCACGGCACGGGTTGATCGGCCTGGGGCTGACTGAGAGCGGTGTCCGTCCGGATTTGGCCGACAGTGTAGAATGTGGGGACCCTAACTAACGCCGCACGCAGCAGGGGCGTCAGGGACTGGGGCTATAATCTGGGATCTGGGTGTTTTGTGTTTTGCTGTTTATCGCGTGGTTTAACGTTATGATTGGGGGGTTGTGTAGACTGGTGTGTGACTAATGTCTGGTGTGAGGGGACCCATTGCCGCTCTCTCCGCGGGGTTCTCCCCGATGGATGTGACCGACGCGTGACCGGGGGCGGGGGGGGTCCTGCCCGTGTCGGGAGTTTTGCTCTCCCACCGCAGTCCGCCTTCCACACTTACCGATCCTCTCGTCGTTCACACGCTCGCACGCCGAGTGTGCGATGCGTTGGGTGGCGACACCGAAGCGGCAAAGCTGCGGCAAGTCACCCACTGGGACGTGTTGTTAGTGGCTGATTGTTGTTGTTATTGGTGGTGGGGATGGGTCGGCTGTGCTGAGGCCGTTGGGCCCGCAGGCCGCCCGGGGAATGGGACGCAGAGGGAAAGCATCGATAGCGGCCGCCTGCGATGTTTGCGACAAAAGCATCGGCGTCCACAAAGACGTTTATGTTTTGGTTTTAAAATAATAAGAATAATAATAATACACTTAAACTATATTTTGTATTTAACCAGGACAGGGCCCCACTGGGCTTTGTAGCTCTTTTTTCAGAAGCGACCTGGCCGTCACAAATGACAGCTCAACGAAGTGGCTCATCGTCGTCATCGTGTGCAAATGTGTAGCAGCCAAACACTCTAAACGCGCGTTGGTTGCGATTCTAAATGTTGGAGGGAATAGCCGGAGGACCCGGAGTAAAGCGCACGCGACCACGGCGAGGGAGAGAGACACGCAGACGTCAGGGTCGGGATCGAACCTCGGACCTATTAGTTGGGTCTTTCGGTAAGGTCACGTACATAGGTCACGTAGATCGGTACAAATTAATAAAAATAAAAAATATATATATTAATTTGAACCTATCTACGTGACTTTACCGAAAGACCCAAAGAATATGAATTCCTGCAGTCACGAAAGCTTTTAGTCAAGATTTAAACCTCTGACCTCTTGCCTACCGAGCGAGGTAGTTAACATCTCGCCACACGCAATCTCCAAATATACAGCGGCAAGCGTCAGGGTCGGATGGAGCAATCAAAATATTCAGTCGCGATGGTTATTGGAGGATATAATAATTAATTAATGATTATATGTTGTGTGGTTCAATACCCAACGTATATTTGCATCGATTGCTAATTTAATAAAGACAACTGGAGCAGCACCGGAGACGATGTCTTTGTTTCGGGGATCAGCGCTCAACCAACGGCGATCTTGCGCCTACTTTTATAGAAGAGCTCCCAGAGTAAAACAAACAATTGCCCATTTTCAGTGTCAGATAGAACATTGGAGCGCGTTGATACCCCGGCGGCAGCGTCACCGGAGCGGCCAGTGTCAGTGTGGGAACATCGACGGATCCGTCACCGAGACGTCGCAGACTTGTAGACCTGGCCACGGGGAAGAGAGGCCTCCGGCTCTGGTGAAGACGGTGGCATCCTCTTCACCGGTCTGAGAACTGAACTCGGGAGACTGAGACGAGTCTCGGTTTTTCGCAGCGGTCCCCTTACTCGCCAAAATAAAATAAAAAGCGTCAAAAAACTAAAGTTGGGCGAATGTACAGCTCGTGCTCAGACTCGGCTCCGCCAAGACGTGTAACCGTGTGCAGGAGACTGCGTGTGCTCAGGGCGGCCTCGAGCTACGATCGGAAGAGATCACTTCCGCTTGCAGACTACGGGTACATCTCGAGGCAGGGTTACTCCGGTAAACGTCTTCCCTTTGGCTCCTCATTTTGGGGGGCATAAGTCGGCGCTCCGAACGCAACGATGGATGTGCGGGATGCCAGGGGTTCGATGTCGTCTGGGGGTTAGCGACTTGGAGATTCGCGATGGAACGCGCGGCGAGTTGTGGCTGTGCCCAGGAGACGAGAGGTTTGTTCGCGGTTCGGGGTTTGCGGTTGTGGAAACGATCGGTAGAAGAATAACCAGCGATCGACTTCGACATTTGACTTCAACCGAATTGTGAGAGCCGGGCAAGCGGCAGTCGACTCGACCGCGACTTCGATCACCAATTCGCTCATTCGGCACGCGCGCGTGCACGTGCACGGCATCCGCACAAACAAACTGCACGGCAGCAGGCCCCACGTGATCACGCCATCGGTACCACGTGATCACGCCATCCGTACCACGTGACCACGCGATCGGTACCACGTGTCCCACGCTCGTTCACGACCGCCCGTCGAGCTGAGCCCGTCACGTTTATTGCCGCAAACGTTCCCGTCTGTGCGGCAAGCCGGCAAAACCACGTTTTGGTGTTTTAAAATGAGATTACCGGTAATAACAAAAAAACCCCAATAAATTGTAAGTCGAAGAAGTGCAGGTTGTGTGTGTGTACGTGTGTGTGTACGTGTGTGTGTGTACGTGTGTGTGTGTGTACGTGTGTGTGTACGTGTGTGTGTACGTGTGTGTGTGTGTACGTGTGTGTGTGTGTACGTGTGTGTGTGTGTACGTGTGTGTGTACGTGTGTGTGTGTACGTGTGTGTGTGTACGTGCGTGTGTGTGCGCGCAGTGGGAGCGTTAGTGTCGAGGTTAGCGCGCTGCGCTACGAACCCGGTGTCCCGAGTTCCATTCCCGCTCACGGTTAACACCAGTGACGATGATCTGAACTGGTTCTGGGCCTTCCCGAGGTCGACTCATCCTCAAATGAGTACCTGCTGCAGTGTGTAAAGATCGCCACTAGGGAGACAAAGGCGGCCGGGTGTGGTGATGGCCACCCACCCCCTGGTGTGCCGCACAGGCCTTCATAGGTGCTACTCGCTCACAGCACTTGTCCCTAATCGTCTGTTACAGGCAGAAATGAGAGAGAGGGAGGGAGGGCGGGGGAGGCATTGGCATGGCCGTGGTGGTGATGTCGGGTGTCGATGCCACCAGAGCTCCTCTGTGTGGGGGTGGGGGGGAAACGTCGTCTCGGCGTGGCGGCGGCGTCTCTCTCCGTCTCTCCGCGATGCCCCCTTCGCCCCTCCCCCCTCCCCCTGCACGCGGAGTGGTGTTCGTCTGCTTCGTACGGGAAGCACCAAATGCGATGCAGACTTTGTCCACTCGATGTATTGTCGCAGTCGTCTCTGTAACGACTCCGCTTCACCCTTCACTGTGCACTCGTGTGACGGGAGGGCGTGAAGTTAGTGGTATGACGCTGGTGGTGGTGATGGTGGTGGTGTGATGGTGGTGTGACGCTGGTGGTGGTGTGATGGTGGTGTGACGCTGGTGGTGGTGTGATGGTGGTGGTGTGACGCTGGTGGTGGTGTGACGCTGGTGGTGGTGTGATGCTGGTGGTGGTGTGATGGTGGTGTGATGCTGGTGGTGGTGTGATGGTGGTGTGATGGTGGTGGTGTGATGCTGGTGGTGGTGTGATGGTGGTGTGATGCTGGTGGTGTGATGCTGGTGGTGGTGTGATGGTGGTGTGGTGGTGATGGTGTGATGCTGGTGGTGGTGTGATGGTGGTGGTGTGATGCTGGTGGTGGTGTGATGGTGGTGTGGTGCTGGTGGTGTGATGCTGGTGGTGGTGTGATGGTGGTGTGGTTGTGGTGATGGTGTGGTGCTGGTGGTGGTGTGATGTTGGTGGTGGTGTGATGTGAGTGGTGTGATGTGAGTGGTGTGACGCTAGGTGAGGTACTGATCGGATCGAGCCTGGTGCCCACTCTGCCTCTCTGCACCACTGCACAAGTCACGTGACCCCCCAACCAGCAGTCGCGCGCCGCTCGGCTGACGCCCACCTACACTCCACAGCAGCGGTGGCCACCACAGTAGCGGTGGCCACCACAGCAGCGGTGGCCACCACAGCAGCGGTGGCCACCACAGCACCGGGTGTCCACGCTGGTGGATCGCAAAGCCCCCCCCCCCCCCCCCCCCCCCTGTGATCCACCCAGAAATCTGACCCAATACATTCACTACGTTACAGGGACTCCTCTACTTACGAACGAGTTAGGTTCCAGAGGCACTGTTCGTAAGTCGATATGTTCACAAGTACCAACTTTACTCCTGTCCATTCCAAACTCGTTGTACGGCGTGTCCACTAGACACGGGGAAATAGCTTTACAAGTTGTATAATCACCTGTAGATGCCACTGGTTCTTCACGTTCTGCAGATGTAGATGCCACTGGTTCTTCATGGTCTGTAGATGTAGATGCCACTGGTTCTTCATGGTCTGTAGATGCCACTGGTTCTTCACGTCCTGCATATGCAGATGCCACCACCGCCATCTATTGTGTGGCGGTTAAACCTACGATTCTTGGTCCGCACAGCGGCAACTGGACATACGGACAGGTTTGTTCGTATCTATAAAAGTTCATAAGTCGAATGTTCGTAAGTAGAGCATTCCCTGTGAAAACTACACAGCGCCACCTGTTGCTAGAAGTGTGTTATACTCTTTGGGTCTTTCGGTAAAGTCACATAGATGGAAAAAAAATCACGACGTTTCGGTCGCAACACAAGCAATCGTCTTCAGGTGAAAAAATTCAGTCAATAAATTATTATTTTAGTATGGTGGGAATTTGTATTGGCACGTCGGCCGTAACGGTAGAGTCGTCTGTTTGCGTTTCAGAGATCCACAAAAGACAAATTTTGCGATCCACGTATTGGCCACCACTGCTCTCGCGTGAAACACGGCCGGCGTTCACAACGCAGCCCTGCGCACTTCAGTGCCACCGGGTTCCACACCGGGTTCAACACCGGGTTCAGCACTGGGTTCAACACCGGGTTCAACACCGGGTTCAGCACTGGGTTCAATACCGGGTTCAACACTGGGTTCAACACTGGGTTCAGCACTGGGTTCAACACCGGGTTCAACACCGGGTTCAGCACTGGGTTCAACACTGGGTTCAACACTGGGTTCAACACCGGGTTCAACACTGGGTTCAACACCGGGTTCAACACGGCACCAGGTCAGGAAGGGATAAACAAACCCTGCCTTGGGGTGTTTCCAGTCTCCTCGACTCTGTCCCAAGACAGCCTCCAGTCCTCAATACTCTTTTGTCCGGAGGGTCATGCCGATTTATCGCAGTTAGGGGAGGGGGTGGGTGGGGGGTAACAGTCCCCTGTCATTTCCCAATTGACGGATTCGTAATTAATCAAATTTGGACCACGACGCCGCCGGCGGCACACACAAACATCGGCCGAATACTCTTCTCCAAATCACGCCGTGGGACGTTGAACGTCCACCGTGGGAGCGGACAACTCGGATGGCTCGGACGCGTTCTCAGAATGGACCAGGGGACCGTATACCCACAAATTTGGTGAATGAGTGGCTGAGTGAGCGAGTGAGTGGGTGGGTGAATGCGTGGGTGGGTGAGTGGGTGAATGAGTGGGTGAATGAGTGAGTGGGTGGCTGGGTGAGCGAGTGGGTGAGCGAGTGGGTGGATGAGGGAGTGAGTGGGTGAATGAGTGGGTGGGTGAGTGGGTGAATGAGTGGGTGAATGAGTGGGTGGCTGGGTGAGCGAGTGGGTGAGGGAGCGAGTGGGTGGGTGAGCGAGTAGGTGAAGGGGTGAGTGGGTGGCTGGGTGAATGAGTGGGTGGGTTAGTGGGTGAATGAGTGAGTGGCTGGGTGAGCGAGTGAGTGGGTGGGTGAATGAGTGGGTGGGTGAGTGGGTGAATGAGTGAGTGGGTGATTGAGTGGCTGGGTGAGCGAGTGGGTGAGTGAGCGAGTGGGTGAATGAGTGGGTGGGTGAGTGGGTGAATGAGTGGGTGGGTGAATGAGTGGGTGGGTGAATGAGTGGGTGAATGAGTGAGTGGGTGGCTGGGTGAGCGAGTGGGTGAGGGAGCGAGTGGGTGGGTGAGCGAGTAGGTGAAGGGGTGAGTGGGTGGCTGGGTGAATGAGTGGGTGGGTTAGTGGGTGAATGAGTGAGTGGCTGGGTGAGCGAGTGAGTGGGTGGGTGAATGAGTGGGTGGGTGAGTGGGTGAATGAGTGAGTGGGTGATTGAGTGAGTGGCTGGGTGAGCGAGTGGGTGAGGGAGCGAGTGGGTGAATGAGTGGGTGGGTGAGTGGGTGAATGAGTGGGTGGGTGAATGAGTGGGTGGGTGAATGAGTGGGTGAATGAGTGAGTGGGTGGCTGGGTGAGCGAGTGGGTGAGCGAGTGGGTGAGGGAGCGAGTGGGTGGCTGGGTGAGTGGGTGGCTGGGTGAGCGAGTGGGTGAAGGGGTGAGTGGCTGGGTGAGCGAGTGGGTGAGGGTGTAGGCCCCGAGGCACAGTGCTTACTGTGGCCTGTTGGAGAACACGGCCCTGCCCGAGACCACGTGGTGCAAGGCCGGTGGCAGCGATCGACGTCTCTCGGGGCGAGGCTCAGCACGTGGCCAAGGGCAGGAAGAAGTGGAGGCGACTGATGGCGGCCTCGTGCCCCACAGGGGGATGGAGAGGATTCACTGTGAAAGGGGACGGTGGTGGTGGTGGCCGGGGCTGGGAGTGCTGTGAGCACAACCAGGAGAGCGGGGCTCCCTTCCCCCGACTCAAACCGCGAACCCTCCGCAACAAAAGCGCCGGAAAGCTGCAAAACTTTGGGCCACGTCGCCGCATTTCCGCGTGGCCGAGAACGAGCGCGACGGAGAGGAGGGGATCGACGACAACTTCCTGCGCGACGCTTCCCAAAGGAGATGCGCGCTGTCGTGGCGTCACCCACGCCGCAATCGTCACCCACGCCGCAATGGTCAACGGTCCGCATCAGCTGTGACTGCGAGACTCTATCCATGCTGAAGGTGTTTTTTGTTGGGGTCAGATCGCGCCAAGTGTAACTGTGTCGTCAACCCGCCGCCGCCCGACACAGCCAATGAGCTTTGTCGCATAAACAAAACGTGGCATTATTTGCTACTTGAGCACGCCGGTTGTGTGTTTTGGGGAGAGCAAATCCACAACATTTACAAGTTGAGTACCACGACTTCTCAATGGTAATTCCACGCGGCATCATCGGGACTTTTTTTGCCAGAAAGAAAAAAACAACCCTTTATTGCGAATATTATTGGGTCGCAAAGCTCTGCGTGTCAAGCTGACAAAACCAAACCTGTCTGAGTCACCGCCCCAACCGGAGCAATGAATTGGCCGCTTGACGAGACCCCCAGTGCTCACCCCCCCCCCCCCTCGCAAGTCTCTCTTCTCGATCTCTCCGCACGTGACACCTTGGAAGGCTCGCCAGAGGGTGGCTCTGGGCTCGTCATCGTGGCCATGCTGTAGCACGGTGCCGACGCCGCTGTAAGGTTGGGTGAAAATGCGCCGTTGACTAAACCGGTTTCTTGCGTTCGCTTGTCAGAGCCAAACACGACGGCGAAACTACCGATACCCATCGGATGGCAGCCGAGTTGGCGTAGCGTGGGCAGTAGCGGAGCGAGACAAACGCGTGGGTTCCGTCTCGCTGTCCGGGGTGCACGCGTCGAACCGCGGGTGAGAACCCGACGTTCTTTGTTCGCCCTAATGCAGGAACGAGCTTCGCGGGTCCCGTAGTCGTGACGGTGCCACCTAGCGAATCGTTTCCTGCCCCCCGAGCGAGCTGCACAGAGGGCCTCGCCCATGCCGCTGGGCAAGGCGCCTGAAGGAGCGACCCCACGATCTTCCCAGGGCCGCTCCCAGGGCCACTTCCCACGGCCAGGGGACGTCGTTGGGAGGTGGTGCGGGGTCGGGGGGGGGGGGGGGCACTGGAGTACAGACGACGCGTTCAACATTTGTCCCGCGGGCTGCGATTTCGTGGAAAGATCCCGAACGATCCCTAGAAACGGATCGTGAAGTCACCAGTAAATGCGAGTATCCTGCCTGGACATGCGTTTAAATTATTGCTATAAATGCCCAAATGATAAGCCACTTTGTTGCTTTTGAAAGATAAGTGAAGATCTCAGTGGGCTTTGTCTGGTAGGATGGGGATGGTTTAGTTGTAGTTGTTTGTGTTTGGGTGATTCGTTTACCGTTCTTGAACTTTGCACTCCTATCGTGTTTGTGTTGTTGTTGTTGTTGTGACGTTCTTGCCCCATGACCTGACAGGACGTCTGTGAAAAAGAACTTCATAGCTCATCGGATTGCTCCACTATATTCTGATTCTGAGATGTCCAACCCCGTGGGAAGCAGTGGCAGCGGTGCTCGGAGCTGAACCTCATCACTGCCACTGCCGTCGGCCAACCGGCTGCCAGGGAGGTGACCTCATGGCGTAGAGGTCACCGTGAAGTGACCCTTGCAACGTGGCTGGCCACGAGGCTTCCGTGTGCTTCGGCAAGTGTGGTCGAGGCGGCGAGTGCGTTCGTGCTATTCATGCTAGAATTCCCCATGGATGTCGTTATTTTTGTAATTAATTTGGTCATTTATTTATGGCATCGGTTGGATGTTTCGACTCAAGAGCGAGTGGTCCTTTGAGATCACACCGCTGAGATTTAACTTTGCGATACTTTTTGTCATCTGAAAAACAAACTAAACTTATCTTTATTTCACCAGGTAAGGGTCACAGCTCTTTATAAGAAGCGACCTGGCCATCACAAATGAGAGCTCAACAAAGTGCATCATCAGCACGTGGACATTTCCAGCAGCCAAATACTCAAACGCGTGACGTTGAGTCTCAATGCGGAGGGTAAAACTGGAGGACCCGGAGAGCATGAGAGGCACGCAAACTCCAAATATACACCAGCAGGCCGTCGGGGTCGGGATCGAACCCACGACCTCCAGGTGAGGTAGTTACCACCTCGCCACCATGGCACCTGGATCCCTGTGCGGTTTCTGTGTCACCAAAGTATGATCTTGTGTTTAGATTTAGTGTGCTGATCTTTAAAGGTGCATTGGAAAATTTTGATGCTCCTACTGTTGTGGAGTGACTCATGCAGCCAGCTATGGCTGCAGGGTTTGGTGGTACATGTTGTTTATGTCGTTAATTGTGAAATTTCGGTCACAGTTTCTATGATCACTGTTACATTGCTTTTATGGCTTTATTTTGGTGATTTCGAAAACTTTTTTGGTTTGGCCATGTTTGTTTGTTGTAGTACGGAGTTAGAATGATGGCTTTAATCTAAGTTGTCTTGTGGTTGTTGTTGTTGTTTGGCTTGCATCCCACTGGGATTTTTGCACACAGCGTTGGTGTACGGTGATTTTTTCTGGAAGATTTTTTGCAGTTTTTTCCTGGATTTTTCTGTTTGCGCGTTGTCACTCTAAGATGTTTTTGTTTGTTGCGGTTGCACCCGATTCAAGAGCCGAATGGCTCACAGGGCTATACCAAATAAATGAAACTGAAAACGTATCGACCAGCAGTTATGACAAATGCATCTCAAAGCAGACTTCCACCATTTACAGGATGACTCACGTCGCGCTGTACTCGAGCCCCACGGGAGTTTTAGTCAACAACCGAGACAGCCGTGGAATCCACGAGAGGAGCTGCTGCTGCTGCATCTACAATAACAACCACCCCCACCGCTCTTCGCTCGAGCGCCTAAACGTCCGAGCGTTTCATCACGAAGGTTCACACCGAGTCTGCAAATTCACTCACACGCACACGCACAGTCGGCGGGGCATGCAGAAGACGAGTCGGGCCAGCAGCCTGAACGTGCCAAGCTGGTGCGGCTTTTGTTTTGTCTTTCGCGGTGGGAAGTTTGCGTCCTCACAAGCAAAGAGAATCACAACGGGCAGCGCGCACGGCGCGCACGGCACACCCACAAAGCAACAGAGCCGCTATTTGCCACGGCTCCCGCGGCCAGGCAGCGCGAGAGGTCGTGCGGAGGTCACAACATCCCACAGATAGGACACGAGGTCAGGGTACAGGCCCAGTGGTTAAGGATTGGCGAGTGATCTTACGGCGTTCGGTTCGCGCACCAGGGGTCGATGTGACTTTAACCCCCCGCCCCCCCCCCCCCCAGGAACTTCTGCGAGGTGTAGCGAGGCAGGGCAGCGGTTTCCCAACCCGGTGGTCCACCACGGGGAAGTAGTCCACGTAGCAGCTCAAGCTGCTGCTGCTGCAGCTGCCACGATGATGTCGAGTCGTCTTCACGGTTGAAGACGTCATCGGTGCACGGCGGCGGTTCGCGACTCGCTTCCAGGAGAAGCGGAAGCGAGTCCTCTTCTCTTCTCCGCGTCTGTCCTCGTGCTCCGCGTCGATGCACGGGGCACAGCGCACAGAGCAGGCAGGAGGCGCGGGCGCGTGCCTCTTGCAGCCGCCGCGAATGAAAGTGCGCACGTGAATGCGTACACCGGGGAAAGTCTGCGGCCACTCCCGGGCCCAGCGACCACGAGTTCGGGCCGCGTAGGGGCCCCCCACCGGTCGCTTCCTGCGGCCCAGCCACGGGCGCACGCAGGGAGCAGGCGGGGCCCGACGTCACGACCCACGAACCTCCTCGTGGTGGCCACGGGCCATCCGCACGATAAGGTTTATTACACCAGAACCGCTAGAAGCAAGTGCCTCGCTCGCCAGGCATCTCTGTCGCAGATTCCCACTCGTCCCACATGTCAGCGCTGAAAGGCCGTCGCCGCGTACGGAGGGTGGCCACCCCTTCCCCCTGTGGACCAAACCCGGACGTGTTTCTTAGGCGGCCGAGGTCAATCAGAACTGTGCAGGGCACCGCAATGAAGGCCTTCGCGACACCGGTGCCAGATCTCGGTAGCAATGTCTGTCGTGAGTCAAACCCAGACAGGTGGCCACCCGCAGGGCGATGCTCCAGTTGCATCGGGCTGGCAGAGACCTCCAGCAGGGCGATGCTGCTGCGGCGCCGCACCGCCCATCCACGTCCAGGACGCGAACTCGGGGCCTGCCGCTCGCGTGCGGCACCACCGGCTCCACCGGCTCCACCGGGCCGCGTGCCGCGGTCGGCGCGCGTCTCCGGCTCGCGCGGGCCACGGAGTCGTCGGGGGTCGTCGCGGCGCAGACCCCCACACGAAGACCGGCGGCACAGACCATACCACCCCCCCCGCCGGGCAGCTCCAAGAGCCTCCACGAGCCACGCGGTCCCAGTGAGCGTCCTGGTCTCACGCGGCCCCCCAGCGGCCCCCCAGCGGCCCCCCAGCGGCCCCCCAGCGGCCTCGCCTCGGGAGCGGCCGCCCCGTCGCCCCCTCCGGGACCGGCCGCGAGCGGCCACGTGGCCGCGCGGCGGCGGTGCCTCGGCCGGTAACCGACGCGGGGACAGGGGACGGCGCCGGAGAGCGGCGCCGTCAAGACGTTCGGCCGGGGCGGCGAGGAAACCGGCGGAGGAGCAGGAGGAGCGGCGGTGGCGGCGGCGTGAAGCGGGGCAGGGCGGGGCAGGGCGGAGCGCTTGCGGGGGCCTCCGTGGCGCTCAGCCGGTGCCGTAGGAGGAGAGCAGCGCGGCGTCCACCGGCTCCATGCACGAGGGGCAGGTGAAGGAGCGCACGAGCCAGTTGTCGATGCACTCCACGTGGTAGGTGTGCAGGCAGGGCAGGTACCGCACCGCGTCGCCACTCACAAACTCCAGCATGCAGATGACGCACCTGCCACACACGCACGCACGCACACACGCACGCATGCACACACAAGCACGCATGCACGCACACACACACGCACGCACGTCGCGACAACAACAACAACGGCGCGGGGTGACGCGGGGTGACGCGGGGTGACGCGGGGCGGCGGCGGCGGCACATTCGTCGCCTGCTGCAGAGGTTATCCGCCCCCCCCCCCCCCGGTCAACACCTGCGGGTGTCATCAGCTGTGACGATATTCACGATTAACGCGCCGGACAAATCGCGGCGCGCATTAGAGATGCCGCAGCGTCACTCGCACAGAGCCGCCCGTTTGTGCTGATAGCGTCATGCGCTCACAATTGTCAAATTAAATTATTTTTCATGGCACCAGTTTGCTTTTTCTACTTGTAACAATCGACTAAATTGGGAGGCAGCGGAATGTGTGTCCCCAACTGGGATCGTGTGGAAGGACACTCCCCAAAGTAGTGTGGTGAGTCGTGTGGTGAGTCGTGTGGTGAGTAGCGTGGTGAGTGGTGTGTGGTGTGGTGTGGTGAGCGGTGTGGTGAATAGCGTGGGGAGTGGCGTGGTGAGTGGCGTGGTGAGCGGCGTGGTGAGCAGCGTGGTGAGCGGCGTGGTGAGCGGCGTGGTGAGCAGCATGGTGAGCGGCGTGGTGAGCGGCGTGGTGAGCGGCGTGGTGAGCGGCGTGGTGAGCGGCGTGGTGAGCGGTGTGGTGAGTGGCGTGGTGAGCGGCGTGGTGAGTGGCGTGGTGAGTGGCGTGGTGAGCGGCGTGGTGAGCGGTGTGGTGAGCGGCGTGGTGAGCGGCGTGGTGAGCGGCGTGGTGAGCGGCGTGGTGAGTGGTGTGGTGAATAGCGTGGGGAGTGGCGTGGTGAGTGGCGTGGTGAGTGGCGTGGGGAGTGGTGTGGTGAATAGCGTGGTGAGTGGCGTGGTGAGCGGCGTGGTGAGCGGCGTGGTGAGCGGCGTGGTGAGTGGTGTGGTGAGTGGTGTGGTGAATAGCGTGGGGAGTGGCGTGGTGAGTGGTGTGGTGAATAGCGTGGGGAGTGGCGTGGTGAGTGGCGTGGGGAGTGGCGTGGTGAGCGACGTGGTGAGCGGCGTGGTGAGCGGCGTGGTGAGCGGCGTGGTGAGTGGCGTGGGGAGTGGCGTGGTGAGCGACGTGGTGAGCGGCGTGGTGAGCGGCGTGGGGAGTGGCGTGGTGAGTGGCGTGGTGAGCGGTGTGGTGAGCGGCGTGGTGAGTGGCGTGGTGAGTGGTGTGGTGAGTGACGTGGTGAGCGGCATGGTGAGTCGTGTGGTGAGCGGTGTGGTGAATAGCGTGGGGAGTGGCGTGGTGAGTGGCGTGGTGAGCGGCGTGGTGAGTGGTTTGGTGAGTGGTGTGGTGAGTGGCGTGGTGAGTGGTGTGGTGAGTGACGTGGTGAGCGGCGTGGTGAGTGGTGTGGTGAGTGGTGTGGTGAATAGCGTGGGGAGTGGCGTGGTGAGTGGCGTGGTGAGCGGCGTGGTGAGCGGCGTGGTGAGCGGCGTGGTGAGCGGCGTGGTGAGCGGCGTGGTGAGCGGCGTGGTGAGCGGCGTGGTGAGCGACGTGGTGAGTGGCGTGGTGAGTGGTTTGGTGAGTGGTGTGGTGAGTGGCGTGGTGAGTGGCGTGGTGAGTGGTTTGGTGAGTGGTGTGGTGAGTGGCGTGGTGAGTGGTGTGGTGAGTGACGTGGTGAGCGGCGTGGTGAGTGGTGTGGTGAGTGGTGTGGTGAATAGCGTGGGGAGTGGCGTGGTGAGTGGCGTGGTGAGCGGCGTGGTGAGCGGCGTGGTGAGTGGTGTGGTGAGCGGCGTGGTGAGCGGCGTGGTGAGTCTCACTCGCGGCCCGTCTTCTCGCTGGGCCCCGCGTCGTCGTAGAGGCCGTGCGGCAGGTGCTGGATGAGGCCCAGGCGCTGGGCCACGCGGCGCTGCTCCTCGGGGCCACGGCCCAGCGAGTGGTGGGGCAGAGCCTCACCCACCACCACCACCTCCTGCTCCTCCTCCTGCTCCTGCTGCTCCTGACAACCACAAGACAACGACCCCCCCACGTAGCCTGTGACAGACTGCTGGGGCTCACGAGGGGGCGGGTGGCCAGCACCACGCCAGGCCGCCTTTGTCTCCCCAGTGGCGATGTTTAGACACCGCACCAGGTACTCACTGGAGGCCGAGTCCACCTAGGGGAGGCCTACGACTGGCTCAGACACACACACTCACCACACACAGACTCACCACACACACACCCACCACACACACCACACACACACTCACCACACACACCACACACACACACTCACCACACACACACACCACACACACACACTCACCACACACACACACCACACACACACACTCACCACACACACACACCACACACACACACTCACCACACACACCACACACACACAACACACACACACACTCACCACACACTCACCACACACACACCCACCACACACACACACCCACACACCACACACACACTCACACCACACACACACTCACCACACACAACCACACACCACACACACATCACCACACACACACTCACACACACACACACATCACCACACACACACCACACACACACACTCACCATACACACACACCACACACTCACACACCACACACACACTCACCACACCACACACACAACACCACACACACACACTTACCACACACACACCACACACACAATCACCACACACACACTCACCACACACACAATCACCACACACACACCACACACACACCACACACACACACACTCACCACACACACACCACACACACACCACACACACTCACAGAGAGGGTTCATCTCTGTGGTGAACCCTGTGGTGTGGGGGAGTTGTGTGGGGGGGGGTGTGTGGGGGGTGTATGGGGGGGTGTGTGGGGGGGTGTGTGGGGGGTTTATGGGGGGGTGTGTGGGGGGGGTGTGTGGGGGGGTGTGTGGGGGGGTGTGTGGGGGGGTGTGTGGGGGGGTGTGTGGGGGTGTGTGGGGGGGTGTGGGGGAGGTTGTGTCGAGGGGGGGGTTCTGTGGGGGGGGGGGGGTCACAGTCACTCGCACTGCCCCGTCAGCCCCCCAGGTGCCCCCCCCCGCCCCCCGCCCCCCCCCCGCGGCTTGCCTGGTAGGGGGGGGGTGGCCCCGCCTCCGCGTCCCCGGGCTCCGAGTCGCGCAGCAGCGAGAGGTCGTCCAGCGACGCCGCCTTGAGGCAGTTCCCCATCGCGGGGGGCGGGGGGGCGGGGGGTGGAGGGGAGGGGTGGGGGGGTGGAGGGGAGGGGTTGGGGGTGGAGGGGAGGGGCGGGGGGTGGAGGGGAGGGGTTGGGGGGTGGAGGGGAGGGGTTGGGGGGTGGAGGGGAGGGGAGGGGTTGGGGGGGGGCTCCACGTGGAATGAGACTCGGGAGAGTTGAGCACAGAGGGTGGTGGCGACTCGGACACTCGCACGGAGATGGACACACAGGATTACACGGGACGAGAGACAAACACGGCCGTGACCTCAGAGACACAGAGAGACAAACACGACCGTGACACAGAGAGAGACACAGAGACAAACACGGCCGTGACACAGAGAGACACAGAGAGACAAACACGGCCGTGACACAGAGAGAGACACAGAGACACACAGAGACAAACACGGCCGTGACACAGAGAGACACAGAGAGACAAACACGGCCGTGACACAGAGAGAGACACACAGAGACAAACACGGCCGTGACACAGAGAGACAAACACGGCCGTGACACAGAGAGAGACACACAGAGACAAACACGGCCGTGACACAGAGAGACACAGAGAGACAAACACGGCCGTGATCTCAGACACAGAGAGACACCGACGCGACGGGGCGAGGAGGAATCCGACAACAACAGCTGGGCCTGGCGATTCCTAATCACGGGCGAGGGAATCGTCCCGTGCGGGATCGAACGTTGCGAATCGGTTGCAACAAATCGAACCATTCGGAGTACCCCGAAGAGATTCCCATAGGCGCTCAGACGAAGCCGGAGCGGATCGATAGCGTAGAATCGATTCCAACTATATCGAACAAGTCCCAAATTGAAATAATCGCGATTCACCAAAACGCTCCCCCAGTAACCCATTGCGTGAACCACGTGACTCCACGCTGTCGGGTAGAGCAGCAAGTAGGACGAGTAGGGGGTGGAGCAAGTGGGATGGGGAGGGGGTGGAGCACGCGGGACAAGTAGGGGGTGGAGCAAGTGGGATGGGGAGGGGGTGGAGCAAGTAGGACGAGTAGGGGGTGGAGCAAGTAGGATGGGGATGGGGAGGAGCAAGTAGGACGAGTAGGGGGTGGAGCACGCGGGACAAGTAGGGGGTGGAGCAAGTAGGATGGGGAGGGGGTGGAGCAAGTAGGATGGGGAGGGGGTGGAGCAAGTAGAACGAGTAGGGGGTGCAGCAAGTGGGATGGGGAGGAGCAAGTAGGACGAGTAGGGGGTGGAGCAAGTGGGATGGGGAGGAGCAAGTAGGACGAGTAGGGGGTGGAGCACGCGGGACAAGTAGGGGGTGGAGCAAGTAGGATGGGGATGGGGAGGAGCAAGTAGGACGAGTAGGGGGTGGAGCACGCGGGACAAGTAGGGGGTGGAGCAAGTAGGATGGGGAGGGGGTGGAGCAAGTAGGATGGGGAGGGGGTGGAGCAAGTGGGATGGGGAGGAGCAAGTAGGACGAGTAGGGGGTGGAGCAAGTAGGATGGGGAGGGGGTGGAGCAAGTGGGATGGGGAGGGGGTGGAGCAAGTAGGACGAGTAGGGGGTGGAGCAAGTAGGACGGGGAGGGGGTGGAGCAAGTAGGACGAGTAGGGGGTGGAGCAAGTAGGATGGGGAGGGGGTGGAGCAAGTAGGACGAGTAGGGGGTGGAGCAAGTGGGATGGGGAGGGGGTGGAGCAAGTAGGACGAGTAGGGGGTGGAGCAAGTGGGATGGGGAGGGGGTGGAGCAAGTAGGACGAGTAGGGGGTGGAGCAAGTGGGATGGGGAGGAGCAAGTAGGACGAGTAGGGGGTGGAGCAAGTAGGATGGGGAGGGGGTGGAGCAAGTGGGTTTCGGAGGGGGTGGAGCAAGTAGGACGAGTAGGGGGTGGAGCAAGTAGGACGGGGAGGGGGTGGAGCAAGTAGGACGGGGAGGGGGTGAAGCAAGTAGGACGAGTAGGGGGTGGAGCAAGTAGGACGGGGAGGGGGTGGAGCAAGTAGGATGGGTCCCGGGTGTCACGACGCATGCAGAGGCGTCTCAAACCGCCTCCACATCAACATCTCTGCTGCTGCTGCTTCGTCTCCACATCAACATCTCTGCTGCTGCTTCGTCTCCACATCAACATCTCTGCTGCTGCTTCTTCTCCACATCAACATCTCTGCTGCTGCTGCTTCTTCTCCACATCAACATCTCTGCTGCTGCTGCTTCTTCTCCACATCAACATCTCTGCTGCTGCTGCTTCTTCTCCACATCAACATCTCTGCTGCTGCTTCGTCTCCACATCAACATCTCTGCTGCTGCTTCTTCTCCACATCAACATCTCTGCTGCTGCTGCTTCTTCTCCACATCAACATCTCTGCTGCTGCTGCTTCTTCTCCACATCAACATCTCTGTGCACGTGACACCGCGGTGGTGAGCTGCTGCGACAACAACGCCTCCTCCTCCTCCCTCGTGGGAGTGAAACGGGCGACGGAGACTTCATGTGACAGGGCTGTGGCATTCACGATCTGTTGTGGTTGGCAGTGATTCCCCGTGCGACAGAATGCCACCTTTGCAGGCCGGTGCCAGTGGGTGGCGATACCCGCTTTGCCCAACAACAATAATCCCAATCAATGTCGCCGTAATGCCGCCTCCCTCCGTGTTCGTGAAATGGGCGACGGAGACTTCAAGTCACAGGGCTGTGGCACCCACGATCTGGTTGTCAGCTGTTCCCTGGTGCGAGCGAATGCCACCTTTGCTGGTCCGTGCCAACGGAGGGCGACAAACATTTGCGGGGACATTTTTACTTTCTATTATTTAAATGTGGCCCTCAATAAACCATTGCGTTCCGGACAAACGCCGCTGGTTTCGTGGCATCGGGCGAACGGCGCGCATCCAGAGTCAACAGACGCGTGCACGGCCCCACACACTTGCTTTGTTTTACTGGATCGAGAATCAACATCATGGCATTGCGAAGGACGCACGTGCGCGCGCGACAGATTATTATTATTTTCAGCGAAAAGCTTCACAGGGGCCCATGAAGCGCGGATCATCAGACATCGCAATCAAACACCGCTGAAACAATTATCGACGTGCCGGCATTGCATGAACAACAACAAAACGTCATCGAGTGCGCATCTACGAGCTTTAGAATCGGGCATGATTAGTCGAATCAAAAGAACCGCGACCCGCCTCTCACGACCGTCGCCCCCCCCAAGCACGCTGCCGCAGAGGCACGGACACGCAACAGAGACACACGCAGCTCGTGCCCGGCACGTGGACACCGCGGGTCTTCCAACAGCGCCCCGCCGGGTCTGTCCACATCCTGCATCCTGCACGCGGCTGTCACGCGGACCGCGCCTCTCCCCTCTCCCACCGACGATGCCGGGTTCCAGCAAACAAGGCGCCGGAGAAGCACGAAGCGCTCGGAATGTGTCGCCAAACTTGCCGACAAACAACCCGTGGCGTCGGCTGGGACGGCTTCGTCTGCGGGCGACGCAAAAGGCCCCGCACCGCCCGTGCAGGGGGCACCCTGGCACAGCAACAGGAGCAGCTGCAGCAGGAGCAGCAGCTGCAGCAGGAGCAGCAGCTGCAGCAGGAGCAGCAGCAGCAGGAGCAGCAGCAGCAGGCGCAGCAGCAAGACGCGGGCATGCTCCACGATTGCCACTCTTCCCCCGCACCTCCGATTAGCACGGTTGGCTACGTACGGCGCGAAAGAAGTTCAACGTGCGTGAAATACGCAGTGCCGATGGAAATTTGCTTTTTCATTCTTCAATGAGGTGAAGTGTTTCTGCGCACGCGGAGAGGACCCTGCAGGACCCTGCAGCACCCTGCAGCACCCTGCAGCACCCTGCAGGGTCCTGCAGGACCCGGAGAGAATCCAACGAGCGGTGGCCGGGGACCTCTCTCGAGATTCCGCGGTGCAGCAAACCTCTGCGCACGTGGGAGCTCTGCAGGTGGGTGGTGTCATACGCAGCCTCCACCTCCCACCCAGACGCAGCGTCCACGACTCCGAGGTCACTGGCGGAGGTCACCGCGTGCGGTGGCAAAGCCACGCGGTCTGAGCCCACTGGCTGGGCAGAGCAACCCAGCGAGTGATTCCCTGCCGACGAGGCTTGTGATGCGCGAATATGGGGCCGCCTCACAGACGCCTCCCCACAGGTAACACAAAACACACCCACGGTGTGTGTGTGCGCTGACAAGCACCTGGTGTGGTGCTTGTAGTGAAGCCAAAAGGCGGCCCGGGTGTGGTGCTGCCCATCCAGCCCGCTTGCGTGCCGTTGTGCCCCTTCTCGCACGCTCGCTAACAGCGCTTACACCCCACCAGCCCTGGTAAGAGGCTACACGGGGGGTCTTTGTCTTGTGAAGGATTCGTCTGTGCGCATGGAGGCGACGACCGTGCGTGTGGATGAACCATCCGTGTCCCCACATGTGGAGGGCTCGCCTGTGGGTGCACGGAGGCAAGGCCACGTCCCCCACTCAGGGGGCATGGACCCATCCAGAGTGTTGGAGGAGGAGGCAGCGTGGGGGGTGGGGTGGGTTGGTGAGCACCAGAGCCCCAACCCGCACTCTGCTTTCTCTCTCTCAACACCCGAGGGGGCTCGCAGTGGCCGGCTTTCCCTCCAGCCGCAAGCCGGAGCCACGCTGAGGCTCCGGCTTGGGAGCCCGGCTCGGTACAGTCGCGTGTGAACGTCACACGGGGAGTCCGCAACCATCGGCCGGGCATCAAAGCAGGGTCCCCCCCCCTCCCCCGTATCTAACACGGATGAGAGGGACCCTGCCGCCTCCAAGCATCTGCCAGCTCGCCAGAATTGGTTCAAGCAAACCGGACTCGGCCGACGGAGACAGCGAATGGCACAAACCGGTCCAAAGTTTGCGCGTGTCGAACCAACGCCACCGAAACTGCGCACAAACAGAAGGTCCGCGTGCCCGCCGGGATGCGTGGTGCTCTCAACTCGGAGCGTGCAGGGACAGAGATCCGCAGCCGGCGTGTCTGTCCCCTACGACGGGCAGTCTGCAGGCGCGCACAAGGATTCGTGTGCTCGACATTCGATGAATTGTTACGATTCGTGGGGGGGGGGGGGGGGGTCCCAATTCTAATCACGTTTCTATTTGTTAATTTTACACATCGCGGTGAACGTAGCCACAGCCGCCTTCTGGCGGCAGCATTCACCAAACGGACCCATCACGCGCCCCAAGCGTGACCCACTCTCACGTGCACAATGTGCAATGCGTGTCATCGTAGGCATGATTCAATCCATTTTAATTCGCCCAATCGATGCTTCGTCACCCCCCCCCCCCCACTCCAGTAAATACGGAACCCCGGCCTGGCGCTGTTCGGGTGCAGGTGAGACTCCACCCGCAGCAGCAGTGGAGGGGGGGGGGGGACAATGCACTGGTCCCGTTAGCGAGTCAGTGAGCACACGAGGGAATGGGTGAGCTTGCACGTGTGAAGATGAGTGTGTGTGTCTGAAGACGTGTGTGTGTGTGTGTGAAGACCTGTGTGTGTGTGTGAAGACCTGTGTGTGTGTGTGAAGACGTGTGTGTGTGAAGACGTGTGTGTGTGTGAAGACGTGTGTGTGAAGACATGTGTGTGTTAAAACGTGTGTGTGTGAAGACGTGTGTGTGTGAAGACGTGTGTGTGAAGACGTGTGTGTGTGTGAAGACGTGTGTGTGTGTGAAGACGTGTGTGTGTGTGTGAAGATGTGTGTGTGTGTGAAGACGTATGTGTGTGTGTGAAGACGTGTGTGTGAAGACGTGTGTGTGTCTCTGTTTTTGTTTAACGCAGTTGCTGAGCAAGAAGCCCAAAGGCACAAATCTTCAAGCGGGCCAGCAACAAAAAGGACGTTTCTTGAAATGAGCCAATGGCAGTCAAGTCCATAGTCGGTCGCGGGTGTGAGGGGCGGCAGCGTCGAGGAGAGGAGCAAGCAACAGGAGAAGCGTCGTGACCCGCAGCCGGGTGGTGCCCTCAACGCTGTGCGGATGAGATGAGATCAAACGGGCGGCGTCCGCGAGGCCGAGTCCCTGAACATCGGTGGAGAAATCAACGAGCGGAGTCGACGGGAAAACAGCGAGGGGGAGGAGTCGGCGAGGGGGAGGAGTCGGCGAGGGGGAAGAGTTACATCTTGCCGAAGGACTCCTTGGCGTTGCTCCACACGCCGATGCCCTTCTTGCACACCCCGATCTGCGTGACGGCGTAGCCCACGAGCGCCTCGCGCACGTCGCGCACCTTCTGCCGCTGGAAGCGGGCGACGTCGGCGGCGGCGCGCCGCGAGAACTCCGCCGCCTCCGCCTCCCTCTCCGCCAGCGCCGCCTCGTCGAGCGCCACGCGCGCCCCGAGCCGCTCGGCGCGAGCCTCGCGCGCCTCCGCCGCCTCGCGCCCAAACAGCTTCCCGGCGACGCCGCGCAGCGAGAAGGGGCGCGCGGCGCCGCCCGCCGGCTCGTCGCGCCGCCGCTTCTCGAGCGCCAGCTCCCTCGCGAGCGCCTCCACGCCGGCGCGCCGCAGCTCGGCCTCGCGGCACACGCGGCGCAGCGCGTCGGCGAAGCGCAGGTACTCCTTGAGGCGGTCGGCGTAGTGCTCCTCCTCCTCCAGCAGGTCGTCCACGGAGGCGGCGTGGGCGTCCATGTGGTGCCCGGCGCTCTGCAGCCCGTCGCCCGTCTCGCGCCGCTCCAGCGCGCTCCACTCGCTGAAGACGCGCCCGTAGTTGGCGTGCACCTTGTAGACGCCGTACAGGCGGTCGGCGGCGCGGGCGCGCGCCTTCAGGATGGCGCCGATCGCCGCCCGCAGCTCCTCGGCGTACGCCTCGAGCTCGGCGAAGCGCCGGTCGGGGATCTCGACGCGCGGGGGGGGGGCGGCCGCCGGGGCCCCGACCGGGCGGGAGTCGGCGACCGCCCGCGAGCCGGCGGCCCCGGCGGCCTCCCTCCAGCCGCGCTCCCGCACGAGGAAGGCGGAGAAGACGGCGTCGCGCGCCAACTCCGCGTGCGACGCCACGCGCAGCAGGAAGGCCTCGAGGCCGGCGCGCCGCCGCTCCACGAAGTCGGGGTCCATGTTGTCGGAGGACAGCTTCTGCCACGCGAACTCGGCGCGCTTCTCCGGCAGCGGAGGCACCACGACGTGCGGGAACGCCGCGAGCAGGTGGCGGCGCAGCAGCTCGAACTCGCTGTAGCGGCGCCACAGCGAGCGCGGCGGGGGCCCCTCGCCCGCGCGGCTCTCCACCAGGTAGACGGTGAAGACCTCGCGGCCGTCGGCACGCCGCTCCGGCTCGCACACGCTGATCTCCACGCGCCGCACGGGGAATGCTCCTCCCACTGCTCCCTCTGCTCCCTCTGCTCCCTCCGCTCCCTCTGCTCCCTCTGCTCCCTCCGCTCCCTCCGCTCCCTCTGCTCCCTCTGCTCCTCCCGCTCTCTCCACTCTCTCCTCCACTCCCTCCACTCTCTCAACTCCCCCCGCTCTCTCCATTCTCTGCTCCGCTCCCTCCACTCTCTCCTCCACTCTCTCCTCCGCTCTCTCCACTCTCTCCGCTCCCCCCGCTCCCTCCACTCCCTGGGGCGCCGCTCCCTCTTCTGCCCCCCCCTCTCCCCCCGCTCCCACGGCCCCCTGGATCTCCGGCGACCCTGGGGACCCTACGGGCTCGGCCTCCGTCCCTGCCGGGCCCCGCTCCTCCTCCGCCGCCAACGTCTGCCCCGGCTCCTCGCGAGGCTCCGTAGCCGCGGGGTCCGGGTCGGAGACGCGGTTGGCATCCGTGGCGGAGGCCTCGTCGGGGGTTGGGCCGACGTCGCCGAGGGGACCCGGTCCGTCAGCCATGAGTCACGACGGGTCGACGCGTAGCGCCGGTGCGGAGCCTGTGCGGGGCAGGGCCGGTGCGTCGACATGAGCCACCCGGTTAACAACACTCGAGGTAGACACTCTCACGCTGTACCAAATAGAAATTCCCCCGGTACAGCTATTGAAGGCTTCACGAACTACGTGGTCAAAATAGATGTTAAATAATGTGGGAGCCAGAGGACATCCCTGTCGCACCCCAAGGTGTACAGGGAAAGGCTCTGACTCCTGGCCACGTAGTTTTACCCAGGCCCGCTCACCATCATGAAGGTCTTTAATGATCGTGAGCAGACGGTCAGGGACTCCGAAAGCATGAAGAACAACCCAGAGCCCAGGCCTACTGATGGTATCATAGGCCTTGACCAAGTCATTAAAGCAGAGATGTAGTTCTTGTTGGAATTCCCTACACCTCTGCTATAGCAGACGGACAGAAAATATGGCATCTGTGCCCCTGTAGTTGTTACAGTCTGTGCGGTCCCCCTTCTTAAAGAGGGGGACCACCAGAGCATCCTTCCAATCCTGCGGAACCCGTCCAGTGGTCCAGATTGTTGTTATGATGTCATATAGGGCAGTCTGTGCACAAACGCCACCCTCCCTCAGCATTTCGCTTGGGAGATCATCTCTGCCCGGTGCCTTTCCTGGTCTCAGACTCCGGATCGCCTTCAGTACTTCCTCAACAGATGGCACCTCAGCCAGCCAATCACAGGGGGTGACTTCTTCCAAAATTCGAGGCACCGCAGCCTCAGGAGGGTTATCCCCACTTTGTGCCATGATGTTTTCCTGGCTGAGGGATTTCCCCTCCCCCAGGACCTCACAGAAATGCTCAGCAAATCTGCAAACCTGTTCCTGGGGGTCGGAGATTGGTTCACCGTTTTTTCCCCTAATGATGGTAATAGGTGTGGCGCTGCAGGTTACTTTTTTGATGGAGTTAAATAGTGATTTGTGATCGCGGGCCACTGAGGCAGACTCCATCTCCTCAGCAACCCGCGACTACCACCCATCCTTGCAGCGCCTTACGGCTCTCCGAACCTCTGAGCGAAGGCTGCGGTAAGCCTCCTCATTCTCTGACGTGGGATGATGTAGCCGATGAGAGTGGGCCTGTCGCTTTTTCTCAACTATCCTGAACACCTCCTCTGTCAGCCAGGGTTTCTGGGGAGGTCTGGACCACGTACCCACAGCAGCCATTGCAGCTGCATGAGTCACAGTCCTAAACCTCGCCCATTTACCCTCGACATCAGGAGGAGTGGGAGACTATGCCAACCCCAGCTGCAAGCGATGATGAAATTCTCACTTGCAACTTTCATCAGCTGAGACCAGGCCACTTTAAGTTGGAATGGGGTCCTGGGTGTGCACCCACCACCGGAGTGGAAGAATGGCAGGCGTATCTTACAGATGACTAGTCGATGGTCAGAGGGCAGATCAGCTCCACGGTAGGTCCTGGTGTCAAGGACATGGGCTCGCATCCCCTGGTCCGTCACTATATAGTCCAGCAGATGTTCTTGCTTGGACCCGGCATGCATCCATGATGTTGTGTGGATGCGCCGATGCCGGAAGAGCGTGTTGGTAATTACAAGCCCATGGGCTGCACAAAAATCTAGCAGCCTCCTACCGTTGTTATTGAGCTGATCTGGCCCATGCCTTCCAATCACTCCAGACCAGGTGCCAGCATCATGACCAACTCGGGCATTGAAGTCACCCAACAAGATGACTCTGTCCCGAGTGGCCACTTTAGTCAGCACCTGTGACAGGAGGTCATAGAAGGCATCTGACTCATCGGCTTTGCCTGCATCCCTCCACGGATGTTCATCTTCGGTGGGGTCATAAGTAACCACGACCACCACTCATCGCCTCCGGTTGATGGAAAGGCGAGCCCAAAGTATCCTGGGGCTTACAGCTTCCCATACTTCACCGCCCCCTTTATTCTTTTGTTCAGAAGAAGAGCCACACCCTGTTGTTTGGCAATCTCCTGCCGAGTAGAGGACTGTCCACCCCTCATGGTGGCAGGAGCCAGAACCGGTCCACCGGACCTCCTGAATGCCACAGAGATCCAGGCGGTACCGGTCCAGCTCCCGACAGAGGAGTGGCAGCCTCTCCTCCGCAGTGAGCGTTCGAACATTCCACGTGGCCATCCGTAGTGGCTTTTCATTGTTTCTGGAGGAGCCCCGAGGGTGAAGATTTAATCTCCTGGCTCCGCCAATTGGGGTTTGGCCATGGAGACGTCATAGACGCCTATCCCCCCGGGGCCTCCGGCACAAGCTCATTTGTTACATATTTATGTCTAATTCATAGTTTCGTGGTAATTAATTGAAGGTGGAGGGGTTACCAGCCCCTCGCACCCGTCCAGAGCCCCCGTTTAGCCACTGTGGTGGTCACAGACGCCATAACGGGAGAGGCCAATGGGCATTGGCCCTCCCCCCACAGCACTGTCCATGACAGTGTTTCCCATCCGGCACCGCGAGGAGGTAGGGGGTTGTTTTGCCGGACCACTCACCACCACCACTCACCACACTCACTCACCACACTCACTCACCACACTCACTCATTCACCACTCTCACTCATCACTCTCACTCACTCACCACTCTCACTCACTCACCACACTCACTCACTCACCACTCTCCCTCACTCACCACCACTCACCACCACCATTCACCACCACCACCACTCACCACCACCACTCACTCACCACACTCACCACTCTCACTCACCACCACTCACCACCACTCACTCACCACTCTCACTCACCACCACCACTCTCACTCACCACCACCACTCACCACCATTCACCACCACAACTCACCACACTCACCACGCTCTCCACCACCACCACTCACCACCACCACCACTCACCACACTCACCACCACCACTCACCATCACTCACTCGCCACCACTCAACACCACCACTCACTCACCACCACCACTCACCATCACTCACTCGCCACCACTCAACACCACCACTCACCACAGTCACCACACTGACCACTCACCACCACCACTCACCACCACTCACTCACCACCACTCACCACCACCACAGTCACCACAGTCACCACCACTCACTCACCCCCACCACTCACCACCACTCTCACTCACCACCACCACTCACCACCACTCTCACTCACCACCACCACTCTCACCACCACCACTCACTCACCACCACTCACCACACTCACCACTCACCACACTCACCACTCACCACACTCACTACTCACCACACTCACTACTCACCACCACTCACCACACTCACCACCACTCACCACCACCATTCACCACCACCACCACTCACCACCACCACTCACTCACCACACTCACCACTCTCACTCACCACCACTCACCACCACTCACTCACCACTCTCACTCACCACCACCACTCTCACTCACCACCACCACTCTCACTCACCACCACCACTCACCACCATTCACCACCACAACTCACCACACTCACCACGCTCTCCACCACCACTACTCACCACCACCACCACTCACCACACTCACCACCACCACTCACCATCACTCACTCGCCACCACTCAACACCACCACTCACTCACCACCACCACTCACCATCACTCACTCGCCACCACTCAACACCACCACTCACCACAGTCACCACACTGACCACTCACCACCACCACTCACCACCACTCACTCACCACCACTCACCACCACCACAGTCACCACAGTCACCACCACTCACTCACCCCCACCACTCACCACCACTCTCACTCACCACCACCACTCACCACCACTCTCACTCACCACCACCACTCTCACCACCACCACTCACTCACCACCACTCACCACACTCACCACTCACCACACTCACCACTCACCACACTCACTACTCACCACACTCACTACTCACCACCACTCACCACACTCACCACCACTCACCACACTCACTACTCACCACCACTCACCACACTCACCACCACTCACCACACTCACTACTCACCACCACTCACCACCACCCCTCACCACACTCACCACTCACCACACTCACTACTCACCACCACTCACCACACTCACCACCACCACTCACCACACTCACCACCACTCACCACACTCAGCACCACCACTACACTCACCACCACCACCACACTCACCACCACACTCACCACCACCACCACTCACCACACTCACCACCACTCTCACCACACTCAGCACCACCACCACACTCCCCACCACCACCACACCCCCCACCACCACACTCACCACCACCCCTCACCACACTCACCACTCACCACACTCACTACTCACCACCACTCGCCACACTCACCACCACCACTCACCACACTCACCACCACTCACCACACTCACCACACTCACCACCACCACCACACTCACCACCACCACCACCACACTCACCACCACACTCACCACCACCACCACACTCACCACCACACTCACCACCACCACCACCACACTCACCACCACCACCACACTCACCACCACCACCACACTCACCACCACCACCACACTCACCACCACCACCACACTCACCACCACCACCACACTCAGCACCACCCTCACCACACTCACCACCACCACACTCACCACCACACTCACCACCACCACACTCACCACCACCACACTCACCACCACCACCACACTCACCACCACACTCACCACCACACTCACCACCACACT